GAATATACTTATACATCTTAAAACATGTATTCAGCCACTGATAAATCTTTGTTACTCTATGAAACATATAATCATAGACAGGTTAGGTGTTTCATCTGAGAATGAGATTAATAAATATGTTTATAATGGAGTACATTTATAAATAAATCAATTCATTAATAATAACCATTAAGAATGTCTTGAATTGCCTGTCTTAGGCCAGAGAGTAGCTTTCATACAATATTACTATTTAATTCACCAGTGTTCACAAGAGGACAGAAGGATATACTCTACAGAGTGTCACAGCACTAGCTAATAATTCCTGTCTCGATTCCTTTTTTGGAATGAGGCAGAGTATAAATAAATGAAATCAACCTGACCATAATTCCTTTTATGTATAGTTCTTGATGGTTTCCCCATCACTCCTCGATCTTCATGTAAAGCCCCTGTCCATGTGTCTGTACTTTGGATTTTCTTTTGAGCTGGTTATAACATCCGCTGGTTCTCTAAAGAGTTAAAGACAATCTTTAAAATGTGTTCATTTAAAAAAAGTCTGAAACTGAAAGCAAAAGCATACCTCACAAACCTGTTCCTTCTCCAGGATGCTTCACCAATACAAATGGGGATCCATGGCTACAACTGCCCATGTCAGGAACCTGGGAACCATTTTTGACACTCCCTTCTTTCTCACCTTCCCACTCAATGAACCATCACATCGTTCCACTTCTACATCATTAATATTGCTCCAATAATCCATTCCTACTATCCCAGCCCAAGCCATATCCATTCTCACCTTGGCAACTGTGGCAGCCCACTGACTGGCCTCCCTGTTTCTCCCATCACTCCCTTCCAATCCATTTTCCAGAGTAATCAGTTTCTAAAACTAAATCTTGATCGTGACACTGTGTTGCTTAACACTCATCAATGCCTTCCCATCGCCTCTGGGATAAAGTTTGAAATCCTGGGCTGCTCTTCCCAGCTTTTCCTTCACTTGACTCCTCCTCCTCATCTATCGGGTTTTGGTTTAAACTTAAGTTCCTCTGGGAATTTTTCTCTCATCTCTCAGACTCAGTTAGATTCCCCCAATACGCCTTCACACAGGACTTTCACTTTGTAGGATTTACCTGAAATAAAATAAATTTGTGACTAATTATTTGTTTCATGTTTGTCTATCCTGTTCCAAAAGGATAGACCTTATCCACCACTTTATCCTCAGAGCCCAGCACTGGGTAAGGAACACAGAACAGATTCAATAACTACTCATTGAATTCATGACTGAATTCATATAAATCTAACCCCAAATTCTGCCTCCTCTGGTGGACAATGAGTATAATTTCCCTCTTTAGTAAGACAGAGATAATCTTATCTACCTCACAGGGATGCTATGAAAATGAAACACAATAATACCAATCACAGTGCCCAGCACAAAGCAAGAGTTCCAGAAACAGTCATTATTAATATCAACATCACCATCTTGAATGAAAGAGAGAACAGCACATTGAGATCCAGGGAGGCCAAGTAGCAGGCTGCAGGGGCCTTCAAGGAGCACAGTAACCTTGGTGTGCTCACCCGCGCCTCAGTCCAACGCATCCTCCAAGGTCCAGAGACTTGATCATGCCCCTTCTGAGAGCTGACTAGACCCTGGAAGTCTCAGGATGGCCAAACTCACCTAAGACTAAAGCTCATACACAGTGTCCATTATTCACTGACTATGAGAAATAACTCTCCAATAGTGTATGATTAACATGCAAATCCAGAGAGACAGAAAGTAGATTAGTGATTGCCAGGGGCCGGGGGAACATAACGAATGATTGCTAATGACTATGGGATTTCTTTTCGATGTAATGAAAATACTCTAAAATTAGATAGTGGTGATGATTACACAACATTGTGAATATCCTAAAACCCACTGAATTGTACACTTAAAAATGGTGGATTTTATGTTATACGAATTATATTGCAATTAAAAAAAACCTCTCCAGTGGACCACATGACCGGTTCCACCTTCTCTCCCTGAGGCCAAGCTCTGCTGAGGCCAAATTCATCAATGTTTGCTCAGTGAGCACAGAATCAGAGAGAGGAGATGGTTACAGACTTTGAATGCTGAATGGGGTCAGGTTCTGATGGACTTTATGTCCTTCTCCTGTCAAGAACGGACATTTCTATTGGTCTGGACCTCATTTACATGGTATGGCAGATACAGTTAGCTGCCTACTCAATATCCATTCTTCCCCTTACGTTTTAAGAATACACGATTTTGTTCTGGGTGGGAATGAGCCTAACCCTAGGCAGCTCACGATGGGTCTAAATCCAGTGTTCCCAAACTCTGCTGATGATAAACATCACCTGGAGCACTTGTTTAAAAAACAAAAGAGAAATAAAATAAAAAGACATCTTGGGCTCCTATCCAGGACCCAGCAAATCACAATGTCCAGGGATGAGGCCTGGTAATCTGCAAATTTTAACAAGCCCCTCTCTCCCCTAGGTGACTCTAACCATCATCAGGGAAGTTTGAGGAATACTGGTCTAAGCCAATGGGGCAATCATTACTATGCTCGGCTTTCCTAGCATTTCTTGCATCTAGGTGGCCATGTAACCAGTTCTGGTCAATGAGACCTAAATAAAGTCTACTAGGGAGGCTTCTGGGAAAGCTTTTACTTACTAATAAAAGAAGAAATACACTCACCCTTCTGCCTTCACCCCTTCTTCCTGCCTTGAATGCAGCTATGATGGTTGATGCTGCAGTAGTAACCCAAGAGAAAGGCCAACAGAATTGCAGGGACATCAACTTGGCCATTGTGAGCAGCTGAAATAATGCCAGCAACTGCCTCCTTCCAATTTCTTGTTAGATAAGCAAAATAAACCCCAGGTTGTTTAACCCCATAGTCAAGCGTTTGTCCTTTGCACGAAATGCGTTCCTAATCATATGACAGATACTATCAATGTCTGCCTCTGTGACAGGCCCCAGCCCGTGCTCCAACTGAAACTGCCTCTCCCCTTCTGGGTGAGAGATTCCTTCCCCAGATATGTTAGGGCAGCGATTAGGGTTAGTCAAGACTTGTATAAATGGCAGCCATGTATATTTTTAAGAGGACCATGCCCATTTTCTTTTTCCATATATATTTGATTTATTGTTTAACTCTCAGAGGACTCATATTTTTCCAAGTTCTTGGCGGACATCTCACAGATATTCTTGGTGACACTGACATTTTATGAGACAGGTTTTATTTTCCTGAAAAGAATTCTGTTGGAAAAAACTATAATGAGGGTTGGCAAACTTTTTCTGTAAAGAGTCAGATAGTAAATATTTTAGGTTTTGTGGACCATATGTTTGTTGCAACTACTCAACTCTGCTCAAAACAAAAAAAAAAGCATACATAGACAAAAGGTAAATGAAAGGGCATGGCTGTGTTCTAATAAAATTTTATTTACAAAAACAAGCAGAATCTGATTGAGCCCACGGGCTGTTGGCCAACCTATGAACCATAAAACAATCTTCCTTTTGAAAAACTTGCAGGAAAAGAAAACATTGGCTTTACTTACAAAAATCAAACAGGCTGTCACTATATCTGGTCTCTCACTGTGTCCCTGCCACATGGAAAAACAATGGACTGGGGAAAGGCGATAGTGGCATGTAGAGGACTCATCTTGGTCAATGCCCATTCCACTTATAAGTCCTCAGAGAACAAGGACGCTGTTATATTTATTAAGTACCTGCTATGTGCCTGGGGCTGTGGCAGACATTTTCACATAAATGTTAACGCACCAAGGTTCAAGACCTCAACTTAAGGTCCTGATACATCTTAAGAATCATAGTCACTCTGAGGTAACCTGGATAAAAGAGAAAGCTGTGACATGCAAATACCCTGTGACTCAGCCATAAATTAAGACATTTTACCATTCAGCCTAGAATATAGGCAGAAAGAGGATAATATTGCGGGAAGGGAAATTAATAAGAGTAATTTATTTTTAAAAATTCCAATTTCAGCGATATCTTAAATATGTATTTTTTCAACTAAAGGCTTTTAACTCATTTTTGCTTGTCTATATAGTAAAACTTACCAGAATACGTGGTTTTTATTTGCCCACAATATTAATATTTGGAAGGGGTTATTTCCTCTTCTCATATGAATATTTTCACTTGTGTCCAATGCATGTAGAGGGTTTTTTGAAATCTGGCTTAACCAAGACCTGCCCTCCATTGGACGGTGTGAGAACAGCCCAAAGGTTAGAGAACTGTGTTCATTTAAAAGCTGAGATATCTATTAGAACTTGAAGAAGATAGGAGAGTGCTCTTGATTCCATCATTCACCACAAAGAAGCTGTTACAACCATCTCAGCTGGTTGAGAATTATCACTGAATGAGAGGCAAAATCTAAAGAGACCTAGCCTCTGGCAGCTGTATTTTCAGCCTACATAAAGCTTTATTTTTCAAAATGGTCACAGCAGTGAACTTCTAGAACTTTGCCATTCCCCAACAAGAGTCAGAGTTTCCTTCCCTCCCCTTCCCTTGAACCTCGACAGGATTCCTGACCGCTTCAACAAAGAAAATGCAGCAGAAGTTATGTCTCATGACTTCTAAGGCTGGATCACAAAAGGTGACATTCTTCCACCTGACCCTCTCTAGCTCTTACGACCCTCACCCTTGAAAGAAGCCACCATGCTGTGAGGAAGCCCAAACTAGCTTAACATAGAGAGATGAAATGGAGAAGATCTGAGGCTTCCAGCAACAGCCAGAATCAGCCATAAGAAATGTGAGTGAATGAGCCTTCAATGGATTCTAGCCCCCATCTTTGAACCACCCCACCTGATGCACAGTGGAGTATAAGCGAGCCTTTTTGAGCCCTGGTCAAATTGTAGATTCATAAGCAAAATAAACATTGTCATTATCTTAACTTACTAGGTTTTGAGCTTAGTAACTAGAACACAGACATATGAATTTCACCTGAAACAAAATAAACTTTATGTTTTGCTCCCCATTTTGATCCCCAAATGCAGGCAGAAATCAAAAATATACATACATCTTCCGATAGTGACGTCCTGCTGCAGGGTGCTTATATACAGCTGCAGGGTCAGCTGGGGGGCTGAGCCCAGGAAAGCCTGGATCACCGATGCCCGGCTGAATGCAGATCGGTGGGTGAATAGCTTGCCCTCTGCCTGGCCCACTTCCTTCTCAATCTCCTCTGAGAGACCATTTCTTGGCATCTGTCGCTTCTTGATGATGCTGACATAAGGCTCTTCAATGTGGCTTGACTGACAATAGATGCAGAAAACTTCAAAACACCTGGAAACAAATCAGCACACCATGATAATCAGAGGCAGACAGGATTCTGTCTTTTCTCAGTTATCCTGCTTACACTTAGCCTGATTCTCAAAGCCTTGACTTGGCTACTCTGGACTATAGCCCCTCCTCTAAAATCATCCACTCAAAGGACCAGTTCTGAGCACGCAGTCCTCTTGACGCCCTCCAACTGGAGGCAGGCCAACTGGAACTGAGCGCGAATTGAAACTGAGAGGTGACACTGAAGGCCACTGAGGCAAGGAAACCAAGTAGAGATAGGAAGTGATTCGGCCTCCAGAGCCTCAGAAAAATGTTCACTTTCCCTTCCTGACACTTATTAGCTGTGCAGCCCTGGGCAAGTCATTTAACCCTTGAGCCCTTTCCCTCAATTACAAAGCAGAGATAATACCTACTTTGCCACATTGTTATAGAGATAATACAGTATAAGGGTATACAGTATGTGTATATACACATATATACATATATATAAATTTTTCCACATCCAATAGATGCCCCAAATCACCTTAGTTAAAGCAGCAGCTATGGTTGGGAGATTCCCCAGCACAGAGCAGCTTGCCATCTAGCATTTCCCTGGAAGACCACAATATATTACCTATCTCTCTGCTCTCATAAGCCCTTATGGGACATGACTAAAGTCAATCATGCCTGCAGGCCTGCCAGCTATGTCTTCTTTGTAGAATTTCAAGCCTGCCCTAGAGATGGAGCCTTGGCCAGTCACATTTCTACACTGACAGAATACTTGGCTTTTAAAATTGGATTTTCCTTTCTAGGTAATGATATGGAGGGAGGGAGGGAGGGGAGGAGGAGTACTGATGTGTGCAATTTACTTTGAAGTGCACACACATACAAATGGATTGATAGATTGATAGAGGGATGGATAGATGGGTGAAATAAAATGTTAATTGTGGAATCTAGGTGGTAAGTACTTGGGTGTTCACTGTACAGTTCTTTCAAGCTGTCTTCTGCATGTTCAAAAATTTTCATAATAAAATGCTGGGAAAAAATGTTTTTTTCCTAGGAATAAGAAAAATCCTCATGGCCTTAGGTTTAAAAATTGTTAAAGGACATTTTTTCCCCAAATATGCATTTTTATAACAACCTTATAATGCTGCCGGAAGATTCTATGGCTTAATTTATTTTATTGAATGCTGTTAACTTTGTACTCTCACCCTGAGGCATCTATGGCAACAAGAATACATTTATAATTTGAAATAATAAAATAAAAATTGATATAAGAGAGGAAATGCAGGGACCTCTCTGGTGAGTACAAAGTGGACATATTTTATGATTATTATCTTCATTCATTATTCTTGGGAGAAAGAAGGTACATAGCAGTTCGTGTGTGTGTGTGTGTGTGTGTGTGTGTGTGTGAGAGAGAGAGAGAGAGAAAGAGAGAGAGGGAGGGAGAGGGAGGGAGAGGGAGACAGGTTTGTCTGCTACATTTTGTCCAGTGGGGTCACAGACACTTTAATATATTACATGAAAACATGTAAAATAGCCTGGACCAATTTATTCAGCCAAAAATAATGAAGTTCAGATTATGAGTTCAAGTCCAGCTGATCCAGTTGAATTTGCTCTGAGGAAAAACTCAAATCTATAACTGAGGACTGTTTGAGGCCTAGCAACTCCACACTATTGGACCACTGAGCACAACAAGGACTAGAAGACAGAATCAACTGACCATCGTCTTTATTCTCAAATATGTGTTGAACGCAGCCACACTTTGCTAAGTGCTGTGGAGAATGCAAAGATAGCTGGATACCCCTGCCTCATTCAGAGGTGCTCACAATCTAAATGGGAAAACAGGACATATACACAGTAAGGATAATAAATAATGAATAAAATTAATATTTATATAGCACTTTCAGTTTATAAAATATTTCTCACATATTAACTCACTTAGAAAGCCTACTGCAAGAATTTGAATCATAGCATTATTTGTAATAGCAAAATTCTGGGAATACCCTAAAGGTCTCAAAACAAAACAATGATTAAATAAATCACAATATATGTATTCAAAGAAATATTATCCAGTCCTTAAAATTGATGGTATAGACAAACATATACTAATATATAAAAATGTTTACTATAGTAAAGTGAAAGGAGTAAATTACAATAGAATATATATGTAATTCCATTTTTTGTAAAAATAAAATTACATATATATAAAAATATATACAAATCACACACGCACACACACATGCGCGCACACACACACATAAATAGTAGAGTGCTTGAGCTGGCTCATACTGACTCAAGACACTGTTAAATAGTTAGGAATTTTGTGAGCCAGTTGTTAAACAACCATAAGCCAGGATGGGAATATTTACATCACAGAAATCAGCCAACACTGCAAATCGGGGATTTTTTCCCCGAGAGACAGTTTACCAGCCTATTGCTATAAAAATATTTCTAAGGATATACAACAAAACATTAAGAATTGTTCTCTTTAAGCCGTCGAATTAGAGGTGTTTTATTTTTACAATTGTGCTTATCCGTTTTCTGCTCTTCTGTCATTTTAACAACAAATATGTTTTACCTGAATAATAAAATCAAGCTTAGAATTTTTAAAGACTAAAAAAACAGACAAAAGAAAAACACCAGCACATGCTAAAAGCTGAATGAACGAAACGAAGTTTCAGAGGAGAAAGCAATTCTCTTGATGCTGAGGAGGGGGCTGTATTAAATGGGAAGCATTTACAGAACTGTAGACAAAATGAAACTTCAGTGTCTACCAATGAAAACAAAAGAAGGTCCCAGAACGAGCTAATCACAGAGGTGGCCCTGAAGCACAAGTGGACCCCCTCACAATCCAGTGTTTTTCCCAACTAATACATTTTCTTAGCACAGAGCTTTACACATAGTAGATGTTTAATAAATTTGTGACAGGCCCCAAGACTTCCACTACTTGCCATTACCGGTTAAGAAAACTGATAAGAAACAAACTACTATTCTTCTTGGAATTCTGCAAAACTCATCCAATTACTCCAAATCTGTTGTTTTGTTTTTTTGGTTTTTTTGCTTGAGAGGCTGTCTAAATATAGCTGCAAATATTTTCATCAAAATCATTCAAGGTAGTTTTTCAGTATCATGTAGACCAAGGGTTGGCAAACTTTCTGAAAGTATTTACAAAGTGTAAATATTTTAGGCTTTGCAGGTCATTGTCTCTATTGCAACTACTCAACTCTGCCACTGTTAACGCAAAAGTAGCCATAGACAATATATAAATGAATGAGTATGACTGTGTTCCAATAAAACTTTATTTATAAAAACAGACGGTAGGGGGGAAGTGGCCTGTGGGACATAATTTGCAGACCCCTAATGTAGATAATCAGCAGGTTGATGCATTTTTTTCACTTGATCCAATTTTCAAGCATCATGGTGGAAGGAGTTTATTCCTTAGCTGAAACCGTTCATGCTGGTGCCAGCACAAATAACCTATGGTAACAGAGACCCTCTAAGGTAGTTAATAAAAATACTTTTTCAAAAGAAATACTATGATTTCCTATATGCCACGTTATCTTCATATGACACACATGCTCTATGAGGCTACACAAGAACCAAACTGGTTAAATAGAAAGTGTCATGTGACCTTTGAAAAGCCACTTGCATAATCTCACTGAGCCTCAATTCCTCAACTGTAAAAAAAAGATAATGACAGTCAGCTCAGAGTTTTACAGTGGATAGAATCAAATACTGTATGTAAGGTCTTTGCAAACAAAACAAGTCCTTCAAATTTAGGCTATTATCATTTTAAAGTCTTTTGAAAATTTACTATAGAGAGAAATACTATGGTGAATCATTTTGCAATGTTTTGTAACAAATTACTGGAACTTCTCAGCTTTTATTTTATAAACCCAGATTTTCATGTACCATTTTTTCCTCATTATACCAGTAAATAAAAATGGAGGAAAATTCTTTGAACTTGTAACTCATTTGTATTTATTCTTTCTCCCCATTAATTTATAAAATTAACATAATTGCAAAAGAATGATAAATTTCATTGTCATTGTTAGGAGGTGTTTTTCCCCCCTCTGGTTTTCCAGAATATCTATTACCATTCACAATAAGATTGTCCTTCAAATAGGAAAAAAAATAAATTCAAGACACTATTCAATGTTCATATCATTCACACAGCCTTAATGAGGAAACAATCATCCAAACTGCAACTACAGTTTTAAATGTAAGACTGATATAAACGAAATATGGTGATCTCCCAATGCTTCCCTAAAGGAAAGCAGGAGCAGGGCCTAGTTTGTAGTATTTAGCCCAGAATCATTACAGTATAATATACTGCATTTTAACTGAGTAAATTCAAAAACAGCATCGCACCTAAAAAGAACATGAGTTTGGCTAGTTAGTACCCACCCAAAGAGCTAAATTTTCCAAAAACAATTTCAAAATATTACTAAGCCCAATTGATAAGGAGGGAAAAGAAACACACCATGACTCTCCTTTGTTTCGGGGAATTAATGTTGATCTTTATGTAAAGCTGATGTCTTAGAGTTAAAATAGAATCAAACAGTCTAGAAGAAGAACTTCCAATAAGATATTAAGTCATGCTGATACACCACTTCAAATTGCTTTTCTTCTCATCTGGAAGTTAAGAGGCATGGAACCACATTTTGTGTATCTCAGCTCTAAGATCGTGGGGCCAATATCTCCTTGAAATAAATCAGCTACATAAGAATGAGAGAGTCCTTGTTGACATAAGGGGGTTGTTTGTTGCTATGTTTTTTATGTTTTATTTTGTTTTTCCCCCAAGTAGACAATGACCCTTTCAGAATTTTCTGGAAATAGGTCTTTTTATGGTGTTGAAACTTTTTATACAGCTGAGAAGCTATCTCCTCAAAGCACCAAACTTGTTCTTTCTTTAATAAAGTTAAAATACTTTTAACGTAAAAACAGAAAAATGTAGAGAAGTATATAACAAAGGAGAAAATGATGCACTTTTCTATATTTTTCAGGAAAAAATTAAATTCACCCATAACCCCACCATCCAGAAATTACCACTCTTAACTTGGTATATTTCCTTGAGCTCAGGTTTATATGTGCCATCCTGCTGTTAGACATAATAGTATGTCATTAGCTTTGTCCTGGGTCATTCTTGGTATTTAGAAACATTTTAAATGTCAGTAATGATACAGTATTATCACTTACCTGGATGGCTATTTAGGTTGTGTTTTGAAATTTTGCCAAGATGACCAAACTTTCTAAATTTCAGATGGAACTACTGATAAAATGTACTCTACACTCCTCTGCCTTCTTTCACAGAGTGTAGGGAGCATAATTAACTCCATTTCTAAGAATCCTTGTGAATGCGGCCTGGGGCCTCATTTTTCTCACCTATAAAATGGGGACAACTGCATCCACTTCATGGTGAGGATTCAGTGAACTGAGGCTTATAAGCACCTACCAACCATCTAGCACAAGAAGCATTTGAGAAACGCCAGTTCCCCTTTCTCTGTCACTTTACTTAAACATCAGGAGCAATAAGTTTTCTTTACACAGATTAGGTTAAGAAATGACGAGTGCCTTGCCCAAAGTCAGATCACATTGATTTTACTGAGCAGGAATACAATCAGGACACTGTGGCCTATTTGGCCAGGGAGGACTAACTCCTCACTAAATGGCTCCAGGTTGCAAGACTTTTAAAATTCCCCTCACTCCTTTTCTCTCTCTTTTTTACCCCCTAACTCTTCCCTTGCTCTCAGGATGTCAGTAGCAACTTCTTACTCCCATCAGTGTACCTGTTTCTTTTCCTTTCTAGGATTCTGCAGCTTCAGGAGGCTGGGAAACTTGTTCACCAAGTCTGTTCTGACTGTGTATAAACTACAAGTCAGTATTCTGAGTGTCAGCTGGGACAGCTGACTTTAATATGAAGTGCAAAATTTTATAATAGGGCTCTGTAAAATCTATCTTGCTACTTGACTTTGTGTGTGTGTGTGTGTGTGTGTGTGTGTGTGTGCATATGAGGGGAGGGGAGGTATTATTTCCTGGTATGAAATGTTCCTGGCTAGCTGAATTTTCTGGCAGCTGAGGTGCATCTCTGACCTTCCTATCTCTTTGAATTCCTCTATCACCTATTTCTAAAGTTCAGTGTTATAAATTTATTTCTAATCCAGAGAGAAACCCTTTGTTTTGCTTTCCCCACAGAGATGAAAGAGACCAAAACAACACATTTTAAACTCTCTTCATGGTCCTTAGATAAGCCCAAGTCTACATTACCACGAATTTCTACTTGCTTTGTGTTAATAAAAATTAATTTCCAGAAATATCACTAATAGTTTTTCATTTTTTAAGACACCACAAGATTTTGTCTTCATGGCACATTGTGTTCCAGCTTCAATGACTATGTTTATAATTTAGGCAGGGCCAGAAGACATTTCCACAACCCCGTATGTTTCCACACCACGAGAAAATAATGATGCATGGATTTCTAGAGTTCTGTATGAGAATTAAATAAATTAATATTTGTAAAGCCCTCAGAACAATGCCTGGCACACAGCAAACTCCATGTGTTTGATAAATTCAACTAAATTAAATAATTTGTACATGCTTTTGCTCTAACAGCGATTTAGAACACACTTTCCAAGGGTTTGTCACGACACAAGCCAATCCTGCCAGAGCTCACCTGATCGCAGAGAAAGCTTGTATTTTATGAGGTCGAACCACATGAAATTGCCATTTTTGTTGGTCAAATTCAGTTGAATATTGGCAATTTCATACGCTAGACCTAACAGGAACGCGGTCCGCCCCAGCTTTATTGCCACTATCCCAGGATTCTGTCGCATTCCTGCGACTGGAACGATGGGGCAGGGGAGCAGGGCGGGCCGGCCTGGGCCGGGCCCCTGGTCCAGCCACAGCCACCTGTCCCTCCCGGAAGGCCGCCCCCTTACGCCAGGGTAGGTGGGGGAGGAGGCCCTGGTCTGCAGCCTAGGGCCCGGGGCCCGCACCCACCTGAAGAGGGGCCCGAGCTGCAGCAGGTGCAGCAGCAGCACGAGCGGGCGGTCGCGACTGAAGTCGCGGTGCACGAAGAGGAGCGTGAGCTGCACGAGCGCGCAGGGCAGCAGCGAGAAAAGCAGCGTCAGCGCCTGCCACATGCCGTCCCCGGCCGAGCGGTAGGTGCTGCTCAGGTACAGCGCCGTCGTCGTCTCGGCCACGAAGAGGAACACGGACGCCAGCACAGAGCCCGGGAATTTCATCTCTGCGCGTCAGCGGCGCACACCGGTGGCGGACGCGGTAGCGGCGGCGACTGCCCGAGGGGCTCCCGGCATGCCCGGCCCCGACTGCTCCGGCGCTCTGCGCTGCCCCGGAGGCCAGGGGGCCCGCCGGCCGACGGGCCGGGCGCTGGAGCTGGGCCTGGGGGCGACCGACCCGGTGGGGCGGGGCGGGGAGCGCGGCCCCGCTGGGACACGCCCACGCGCACCGTGCGCCGCCCGCGCGCCAGAGTGTCCGCGGCGTCTCTGCGGCGACAGTCCTCAGGCGGGCCGCGAACCCGCGCCCTGCGACAGCTCGCGCGGGAGCCCCAAAGGCTACAGCGGGCCCTACTGGCCCTGAGCGCAGCCTCTGGGTCCTAGAGCCCCTTGGCCGGCTCTCGCGTTAGAAACCATTCACAGCCCTCTGAAAAACTGAAACCCACGGGGCCCAGTATTGGGGTCTGGACGTCTTTCCATCTCAGTCTCTATTTCCTGGGCCTAGGGAACGCCTAATTCCTCAAAGGGCCAGCGTTTCCGCTTATTTAAAAATAACCAGACCACAAAGATGCTTTTCAAAGTTCAAGTGTGTTGTCATGCACCCAGGATTTACCTTTTCACCGGCCCAAGTAAGCATGCCCCTCAGTCTTCCAAATACAGTGGTCTGAAGCATTGCTTCCAGTGGTGCAACAGCATCAGCGAGAATCCTTAGGAGCCAACGCCTTCTCTCCCAGAAAAACTGCCTACAGAATTTATTCCTCTATAACTGTGATTAACTCAGGGTGAAGACCAGGGCCTAATAAGGAAAAGTTTTCTAGCCCAAGGCATACCTCTGCTTGCTGGTGTGTGTCTGCCTGGAGACACACAATTCCTTTTCACTCACTGAACTGGTGACAACCTTCTGGACATCAGGATGGGCTCAGCCCACCCTTGTCTCTCAGAGCTTGAGCCAGTCACTAAATCTCTCTAAAATTCAGGTCCTAACCTGTTCCATAAGCAATTATATTATAATAATTACAAGATCCCTTTCCCTGTTGAAATTAGGTGATTTCTATTTAGTAAAATGATATCAACACAAATAGAATGTTAAGATTCAGTCGGAATCAAGACAAAAATTGTAGGAGAGAACATGAAGGGCTGTTTTTCTTCATTCTTGTCTGGCATGGGAAAATCTATTTATAAGGGTTAAGGGGAGGATTCAGCCAACAGCTGAGAGGTACCAGGCCCATTCTCTAAAAGGATTACTAATGTCTATTTATAGAACCCAGCAGGCCACCATGTCCTAGATCAAGATACACACACTGTCACAAATACAGAATAGGCAGCAACACTCCACAGAGTATTTGTGTAATATTTTATTTGACACTGTCTTAAGCTTTGAAGGAAAAATTAATTTATAGCTTAGAATTATTAATTAGAGCATACTTAATATTTAGCATTAGATTTTATTTTAAGGCAAAGGATTATCACAGGTTTTATATTATTAAGTAGACTGTACATAAATGTGGGGGGGGGCGATAAGCCCATAAATAACATTGCTTTAAACACTACAGAGTCCAGTTTATGGTGAGTTATTTTCTACAGTACAAAACTAATACAGAAAACACATTTGGAAAGATCACAGTGTTTAGAACATTGTAACAGCAGTTTTCAAAACAGTAAGATGCATCTCTAAGCTTCTGACTCAATCCTGCTTCTAAAGAGATTTCATTATACCATGCAGTGGCTGTGAGCAAACCCCTCATCTGAAGGAGAGGCAACATCAAGTGACTGGAGCACTTCTCCCTCCAGGAACGACTAATAACAAAAGCTGAAATCTGATGAGCATTTGCAAGTTGATCCTTCTCAGTCTGCACACCAGATAACTTGTCCCAGTGACTATGCTTTATGTATTATCATTTGCCATTTTGTCCTTGAGAACCATGTGTGCATTCGAGCTTATGATTGCTAGTTTCCCTGTCAAATACCTAAATGGATTTTGACTAAAGATCAATTTAATGTCATGTATTGCATTACACTTTCTTGCTAGGACTGAAATACCTATTATTCTTTTTAAATATTATATACACAATAATAGACTTATAGAAAGTGGTTTTTTGGTATAATAATATGTAAGATACCAGAATACTTGAGAATTTGGTTTTATTATAAAATATAGTACGATAACATTTTGTGATACAGTAAAATTTCTGACAGAATGTTCTGCTCTAAATTTAGACCTAACTGCTACAGATATGTCTTTGAAAGTGCCTCAAAGTACCCCTAAAGAAATCTAATAATTAGCAAGAGGTCATAGAACCTGTTTTTGGCAAAAGGGCATTTTTAAAGAAGCCTCTCATTTCGTGTGCAAGACTTTCAACAGAGAATTGGTGTTGGATTTAATGCTAATGGAAATTAGTAGTATTTTAAAGTAATAATAACCAATCTCCATTATTTGGTGTATTTTTTTTATAATTTTATGTTTTTAACTCTGCATTTGTGCTGAGGTAAATGTATTGCAAAGAGTATAATTTTATTAATAATACTAATTTATTGAGCAGTCCTTCAAAATTCAATAGTCCTTTAAATAATAGTATGTATTCATTCCTAGATACAATTAGGAATAAGCAGTTATATTCTACTGATAGATTATTCTTTTGTATCCCCCCAAATAATTAAGGAATTACACTAGTTTATTTGTGAATATGAAATGTATCATTAGAAAGGTGAGTTTTTCTCCAATGATACAATCATATTTCTATAAGTATTGTGAATTGTGCAAAAAATCTTTTTGGTGAAGTAAATTCTATTCACTTGGGAAATGCACATTCTGAAACTAACATGTGATGCTTGACTACTCTCCACTATATGGCTTTGCAAAGTGTTTCCCCTAATAATTCGATTCTACAAAATCCATTTTAAAAGTTTTTGTTAATTTAGCGCCATTAAATCCATGAGATTAAAATGCAGACTTCCTTTCCAAGTAGAGCAGCCCCAGATGTTTAACGTTGGAAAAGCTGTTACCTTTTTAGAGAATAGGCTGCCCTTTCTTGTAGACAGATTCTAAAACCAAACTTTTGCACTTAGAATGTTCCACTCCTTCTCCTGGAGACTCCATATAAAACTCATGGTATACTTCGCATTTTCAAGAGCAAAAAAATTCTACTGCTGCTACAGTTTTCAGAAGATATCTCTAATATTGAAATACTAAAGTCCAAAAAACAGAGACAAAACAGATCATTGAAATCAATCTTATTTGAATACATCCACATATAAGGCTTACCACAGTCAACTTGGACCAAATTCAGCGACAGAAGTTATCTAACTGGTAATTGCCACTTAAGCACAGATCGTAAAACAAAACTTATGGGAGCAGCATCAGAAGTCCCACTAAGACAAAGGCAAAAAGATCATTTGCTAAAGATTGACAGTTGTCAAGTATAGTCTATATCTTCTTTAAACTGATTGCTAAGTCACAGCTACTCTACAAAAACAGTACCTACTCAAGCATGTAAAATAACACCACACAAAATAGAAAAAGAAAGCATCAGCAGGAAGGATTACTCTACTTAAGAAACTGTATTCTGTGTTTACATGTATACACATTCAGATGGTTCTCCTCTCGTCTTTTGAGAGTGCTCATAATTTCTGAAAGGCGTGTATTTGGGTATTTTCTGAAGATCTATGTCCATGTGCAAGACATTAAAGCCATCTGCTGGTTTCAACTTAGTAGGGGGTTCTAGAACAAAAAGATATATCTTGGCTCTCAGGTGATTCCAAATACAAAGAATAAGTAAAGATAGGCTCCAAAAAGAGTGGAGAAGGAGGGGAAGACACCAAGTTTTTCTTATGTAGAGACACTTGTGGCAATTTCCAGATTCTTTTTCCCAAAAGTGTAGTAAAGAATGACTTCAGGTCTTTGTGAGGGCAAGATAATTAATAGGAATTAATGCTCTGGGACAGAACCATAGTTCTTGTATCTTTAATGGGCCTTGGGTGGGGAGGAGGGGAAGGGGTGCTCTGCAGAACAAACAAATGTTATAAGCATACCATAACCAACCATACCATGCCAGACTAACCATGTTTTTATAGTGGTAGCTGAGCAACAGTGACAATAAGGAGATTGAACCTCACAAACACAGAACTCAACAACTTTAAACACGTTTCTTTACCCAGGAGAGTGTTCTGAGAATCTGTGATATGTTAATGCACCATGTAAATCTCCAAAAGGGAGTAAAAGAATAGAACTTTCTTAATTTATTCAATCATGGAATCTATTTTTCCACAAGGCAGCTCTTGGGACTAGTGGTCCACATTTAGGGAAACAGCACGGTACTCAAATAACATGCAGTGTTTTGTTTCTATTTTCTCTTGTAACAACAAAAACATACATAAGCTATATGTATCCATAAGACCTTATCAATACTATGAAACAGCAGTGGGATGCTAGCCCTGTGCTGTGGCTCTTGAGCACTTGAGATGTGGTAGTCCAATTTGAGATGTGCAGTAAGTGTAAAATACACACCAGATTTTGAACACTTAGTAAAAAAAAAAAGGTAAAATATCTCATTAATAATTTTATATTGATTACATGTTGAAACGAGAATATTTTGGATATACTGAGTTAAATACATTATTAAAATTAATTCCCCTTTTTTGTTTTACTTTTTTGATGTGGCTACTAGAAAATTTAAAAATTATGTATGTGGCTCTATTTGTGAAACTCACATCTGTTACCTTCTACAGATGGCTACTCATGGCTTTAACCTGGCAGAAGTTTTAATGAAAATGAATGCTTAAGATAGACAACTAGAAGTGTAACTAGGGCCCTCATTAATTATGTGCTAATTTATTTGAAAGCAATTAACACACAATGAACACTCATTCATTAATCAATTTATGCTTGCATATATCCATTCACTCAGATACATTTAATAGCTAAATGTTGGGTTTTACTTCATATGTAATGCTGACTCTAAGTCTCTCTCTCTCCCCGTCTCTCTCCCTCTCTCTCTCTCTCTCTCTCTCACACACACACACACACACACACACACACACACACCACAGATAAACTATTTCCTATAGGGATGAAGAAAAACCAAAGAGG